TGGAAATACTTAATTTTGTTTTATTATTAATAGACTCTTTTAAAATAAGTTGTTGATACACTGAGTTATCTAGACCTTTCATGTGATCATGTGATGTCAAAAGAATAGTAACCACTAAGCTTCCCAGCCAAGGCCAACAGAGACTCACTCATTAGCTCCCACTGCAGACAGGAAGAGCTGTGAACCAAACCTTGGATACAGATATTGGTTTTAAATAAATCTTCAGAAAAGGTAGTTTGAATACAATGAAAGATTTTACATGCAGCTGTCATTGTTATGACAAGAAATAAATCAGGGATGGGCCTCAGGAGGCTGAAAGTGGTCTTTTGCAAGTGCCAAGTTAAAAAAAAAAAAAGCCTCCAGGAGGAGGAGACTGGCAGTTTTGTTCACATAATCTACTTCTTCAGCTTTCCCGGGTTTCCAGATCAGAACATGTTTGGTCTTTTTTCCCTCCATAGTTTTACACATGTAGGATTACGCACAATTTAAGTTTATTCTAGTAACTAGGACCGAGGAGCAAAGGCCAGAATGGGGGAAACTAATGTTTGTTCAATGATGAATGTGTTCCAGGCAGCAGACCAGTTCCTTTACTTATACAACTCAATTTAATCCTAATCACAACCTCAGGGTATAATCATTATTTCACCCATTTTACAGGTTCTTGACTGAGAATTGGTAGGTAACTCTGGGGTACCAAAGACTCTGGGGTGCCACGCTGACCACCATGGTTTTATAATTTAGGTTAAAAAAAAAATCTGTAAAAATGACAACATATCAGCATTTCCTACTGTCACAGATAAGCTGCTAAATAATGTACAGGCACTGGGAGAACAGAATCACATGGAAATAAGATGCTGACTGTGACACATAAAAAGAAATCAGCAGAGTTTAGCGTGGTCCAAGCATGAAGGAGGCCGGGTGAGCCTGGACTTGGCCTTGAAGAACCAAGAAAGGAACGTGGAGAGGCACCTGGGGCGGGGCGAGGCGGCGGCAGCCGGCCCACCTGCACGCTGCAGCGAGGGAGGGAGGAGCCACCAAGGCTCGGGCAGGGAGGGGAAGAAGGGCCTAAGAGGAAGCCACCGAACCTGGTGACTTAGAGGACAACCGGAAAGAGTCAACGACCAAAGTTTCAAGTTGAGGACAGTGAATCTGGAGAAATGACAGTTCAAAGAGGAAGGAGGTGCTAAGAGGAGAGAATAACCCCACGAAAGGATGAGCCTATAGAGGAACAGGCCAGGGAAACTGGTATGAAAACAGCCAAGAGCAGAGGGGGAAGGTGGGGAGCGGAGAGCCACGGGGGCGCCCAGTTCCCGCTGGGAACTTGAAGGCGAAATGCCAAGGGTTAAGGTGGCAAGAAAATGGAAGCAGTAAGAGCCCTCAACTCATTTTGCCAGAAAATCACCTGAGAAGTTTGAATGGGAGAAATAAAACGGTAACAGAGTCAAGAAAAGCATTTGTTTGATTTTACAGAAAGGGGAGAGTTAAGGATGTCTGAAGGTCAAGGGCAACAGATGAGCCCTGCCTCCCAGATTACTCCTTGCCCTAACTTGCTGGTTAACTGTACCGATGCACTCTCTCTGAGTAGATAACTTTGTAGAAACGGGAAGCGAAGCTGCAGCATCAGGGGGTAGAGTCATGAGGTCCCAACAAGATTTCTCATACACATTTCACAACTTAGAAGTTAACCAGAGCTGGTCCGCTTCTTTCATTAAATGCTCATAGAAAATGTATCTCCCTTCACCCTGGCCGGGTGGCTCAATCAGAGTAGCGTCGTCCCATGCACTGAAAAGTTTCCCTTCAATTCCCGGCCAGGGCACATTCCTTGGTTGTGGGTTCAATCCCCGATTGGGGTGCCTATGGGATGCAAGGGATCGATGTTTCTCTCTCACATGGATGTTTCTCTCTTTCTCCCTCTCCCTTCCTTTCTCTCTAAAATCAACAAAAACAACAACAACAAAAAACATGCCCGGCCGGGTGTGGCTCAGTGGTTGAGCATCAACCTAGGATCTGGGAGATCGCGGTTCGATTCCCAGTCAGGGCGCATGCCGGAGTTGCGGCTCAATCCCCAGCAGGGGGCGTGCAGGAGGCAGCCGATCAATGACTCTCTCATCATTGATGTTTCTATCTCTCTCTCTCTCTTCCTCTCTCTCTCTCTGAAATCAATAGAGATATATATTAAAAAAAAACAAAAAAACCACCCACATATCCTTGGTTGAGGATTAAAAGAAAATATAATTTCAACTCACATCACCTTACAACCATAACTATTGTCATGTCTCTGGTCCTTGATGCTACCTCCTTCGGTAACCTAAAACTGGACCCCCGTCCTCTCCTCTTAACCAATTTGATCTACACTTTCCAGTGTCATGAGTCTCTCTCTGACTTGGGGAGAAGCCCTTTTTCCACTGTCATCTCTTTTCAACTTGTCATTTCTTGTGTCATTTCAACATCAACCTTTTCACTGCCACTTCTTCTAACATGGTAATATCGCTATAGTCTACTCCCAACATAGCATTTTAAAATTTTTTGTTTTCCTCTCCAGTTTTCACAATTGTCATGTCATTCTTGCCTGTAGACTTCATGCAGTTTGTATGGGACCTGGTCACTATTTTACACATTCTCAGGCATCTAGTCCCATCTTTCTGTTAGATAACCCTCAAATATCCAAACTTCCCAGAGACCCAAATTATTTATTCCAATCATTGTCCTGCAATCCATCCCCACTCAGGTTAATTTGTAATTACTAAATATTTCTTTCTAAAACATTTTTCTTTTTTAGAGCTATTAATTTACACGTATCTTTTCTAAGAAGTTTCTGATAATAACTTTTCTAAAACCTCTAATTATGTCCACTGGGTTTCTTAAGCTCTAGGATGAGTCACTTTCCCATAAGGTTCTTGTCATTTCCATGTCACCAACTAGCTCTTCTTTACTGGAAACAATTAAGTCCGAAAAAGGAATGCCATTTTTTTTGCCTGCCCACCCCCATTCTAAGACACAAAACTCTCAGCAAGTCAAATCTGGTATTTATGAGACGCTCTGTGTTCAATGGAATGAAGATTTCAGCAGATATTGACAGAATCCTCTCTTACTGTATGTCTTGACTCTGTATAATACATATAACTGGAGTTTTGCAAAGAGTGAGTGAATGCTATTGATAACAGCAAAAGGTGATGTTTACCCATATTAAGAAAATCCACATACATCGAAGAGACCAACAATAAATAAGGAGTGAATTTTCTAGGAAAAATGATAAAATGCTCTTCTTCTGCATTTGGAATAAGATTTCCTTCAATAAAAAAGTTGCTGGTTCAATTTTTCAAATACATATTTACAACATATAAAACATGATGTTACTCTATCATTTTATGGTTATTGAACTCTACCTCCTTGATGTTAAAACTCACCTCATGTGATTCAAAACTAGGTGAGGAGCAATCTGACATCTGAAATTCTTTTCCCTTCTCTTATACCTCAAGAATTTAAGGGCAGCTTCATTCTTCTTTTTCCTACAAAGTTGTATTTTTAGCTCCTTTATGGCACTCTATCTACCTGTAATTATGCTGCAAAAGCAGAAGACGACGCCAGTAAGGGCCAGCAGCAGACAAGATAGCAGAAGGCCTATTTGTGGTCTTGAACAGCTGCAACAGGGCAGGGTGTGCCTGGCAGAGTTCCCTCTGACTCTGGGACCAGGCATGACAAACACTAAGAGCCAGGCTTGCTTTCAGAATAGTCTCCAGCACAGGACCTTATTTCACTGTCCTATAAGCCAAGGGCGGCAGTCAAAGTCCAAGATGGGTGATCAAAAGAGTAACACAAGCCAAGCACAGAGAGGGTGCTAAGAGTGAGATTTGCAAAGGTCTTCAGATCCCAAAGACCCACCAGCCACTGTCCCACCCTGCTCTCTAAAAACAAAACAAAGCAAAACCACCACCACCACCTTCCTTACGGAAGGCCAGAAGTTGCCTTTAGTTCCGGCTTGGAAACACTACCCAAGTAAGTTTTGAAAAATTGTTTTTCTTAAAATAAGAAATAATAAATCTAATTATTTTACCCAGGACAACAGAAATGAGATGCTATTAATCAGTCGTTTAGAACTGGGTATTTTTTCAGGATACAGGAAACATTCATTAGTGGACGTCTTCTTTCCCAGTTCTATAAACTCCCTTTTGTGAGGGACGATTACTGTCTTTGGATAACAAAAGATGCTGTTATATGTGTAGGCTTTTACAGTTCAAAGTGACCAGGGGCTTTTAAGTCTTCATACCACAGTCCTTGTACTGCACAGTGCTTCTGGCTCCTTGGTTTTAAATGAGTGCTTTCTTACTTAGTGAGCTAATGCAATTGCAGCAAAGTAGCATATTTCTATTCTATTGACAACATCAGGGTAGAATGCAAATTTGCTTTGCAACTTTATACACGTGTGCATATCTCTTCACAAGACTCAGAAAGCAGGGCAGTGGGAACAGAAACAGGAACGTGGAGAAGACTCCCAAGGAGATGAAGATGAGCCCAACCACGAAGTGCAGGTGGCTAACGAAGACAGACTACCACTTCCTGGCTGGAATTTAGAGTTCTGCACATGTTTAGGATAAGGGTTGACGGTAACTGCCTCTCTGACAGTGACAGCGAAAGTTTCTATTATTATGAGATTGACTGTCCCCCCAGCAGTGCTTCCATACAAAAATGAGCACTCCTCAAATGGATCGAGTCGGAAGTTTTTAAATAATTCATATTGTACTTCTCATATGCCAATAAAGTCAAATTCTACTGAGAAAATGCTCCAATTTATTTTGTTACATGTGTACTCTGCTGATGTTAAAGCTGACTGAATAAGTGCCCAAGGACTTAAGACTTGGAAACTCTGTCACTGTGTCGATAATGAGGATTCGCAGATTCGTCTTGTACTGAACCTCTCTTATAACACAATTTATATCACTCTATAATATGACCAAAGAAATATTTAGCAGCTAAAAACAGTAAGAACCACTGCTACTTACGGCTGACACAGCTTCACCAGGTCCTGGTCTGTGGTGTTGGGAGGCAGTCCTCGGATATAGAGATTTGTTTTGCTTAGCTGATCCCATCCTGAGTTGCTACTGCTGCTACTGTTGTTATTACTGCTGGTGGTGCTGGGGCTGGGAGGGGCCATGGGGTGGGCTGGGACCAGAGACTGCTGAAAAACAAAGATGGGCATTAGAAAAACTCTACATGGACGGTATTCAGCAGCGTTCTGAAGCTGTTTGATCTGCAAAATAAAATGAGGTTACCAAGTTATACAGATTGTCTTAAGCTACTTTAATATATACATTTTAATTTACACCTTAAAAAAGATATGTTCATTCTACAAAAAAACACACAAAAACACCCTCTCCTCTTCAACATGAAATTAATAATAGGATTTTATTCAGTAGACTATTCCGTATGTGCACCTTAAGTATGACTAAATTTATGTAAGATTAATTTGTTTACACATTTTAAGGAACATATCTACTGAGACTCGAAATTAACTTGCATGCAGTTACGTGGTAATATTTTAATATACAGTAATTTAGAAATCATTAGACTTCTAAATAGGTTTCAAATTCTGAAGAACATTTGATTGAAAGTTGCCAATAATTTTATTAGGATGACTTGGGGGAAGAAAAAAAACAACTACTACTCTTCACATATAAGAGAGAGTTCAATCAAGATGCTCAAATAAAGAAAACTTCACCTAGTTCTAGGACAGGCATACAGCCTCATCCAGACATCTGGGTAAGATACACAGGCTTGCTGCCCTTCGCTCTGGCTAACCTTGTGAAATTTAACCCCTGTGAGAATGGTGAAGTATTTGGAAACCTTCTCAGGCCTCACAGCAAGCAACATCTTTTGTAAAGCTTGCAACTGAGGGCTCAGTGTGGTTTCACAGTCAGCAGCCACCTAGGAAGAATGCCTGAAATTGTGCTCACACCAGATAATTCTCCGTTAACCAATCGAAAGCAACCACAGCCTCTGTCCCTATGCCACACACATGACTTTTGAGGAAGTTAGATAGCTCAGTTTGAAATGGAAGTGAACATACCCCAAAGCAAATGCTCAGCAGCTTCACAGCAGGAGAGAAATTTTTTCACCTCATACCTTCTAAATTACAAATACACTAACCCAAGGACAGCACTTAGATTAAGTAATAGTTTGAAAATACAAAATTAAGTAGGCATTCAACAAAAATTTCAAATCTTCCAGCTTGATTTTTACTACCATAAACAAGAAAATAGGCATCTGTAAGACACAATTAAATTTCACTTTCAACAGTTCAAAAAAGCAGACCACTTGCCATAAATGTCACCTTGCAGACTGTCAGTAATCTCAACTATCCATGATGGATACCTGGCTCTGCACCCAGTTCTGCCATGACCATCCTCGTTCCCCAGTATCTCAATGCACTGCAATTTTCATTAATCTGCCATGAAGCCATTTCTTTATGTCCTATAATCTGCAGCTTCTACTTCTCACTGCCCAGGGTCCTTGCTAAGATCATTGGATCCAAACACCACTTTACCTCAAGAAATTCTCTTTTAGAAAGACAATAGCAAGAAAGGTAAACAACAGTCAATGTAAAAACAAAGGACGAAGTTGAACTGGAAAAAACAATATTCCTTAATCCAAGACAAAACCTGCCCGAGATCATATCCTATCTAATGTCCTTGATTTATGCCCTTAATAAGCAGTTGAACTCATATCCTTTCCTCTCATCCCTGGTTTTTCTCTAAGGGATAACAAATTGGGTTTTCTAGATGTAAAACTAAGAATAAGCCCTGTCGCTTGCTCTGCCACAGGTGGCACCTCAGACCCCCAGCCGTGCCACACACAGGCCTGTGTTTCTTCTCCAGAGCCACTCAGAATAATGTGCTAGCTGCTACCTGAAATTAAGCAGGCGTGCCCTGTCCCCCACTTCAGCTAACAGAGGTGCTGGGAAGTAACACAGCTGCCTCCCTGTCCCAAGCCCTTGATTTACACAAGAACTTGTAGCTGTAGACAAGCTAGGCAAGACTGAATTTTTTCCTTAAATCATCTTTGATTAATGTCTGAGAACCTGTCCTTGCCACAAACCACACCGTTTCTAAACCACAGCAGAACTCGGTATGTCCAGCACAGCTGGCAAAGGATGAACCGTGGACACCTGAGGTAAGACCTGGAGAAGTCTAAAGGAAGGTGTGGGTCGGGTCGCCCCCCCAGGGATTATACCAACACAGAGCAAGCGGGCCATCCCCTGTTTCAGAGGCGCCACTCCCAGTCTACACCAGCTGGACCCTCTGCTTTGCTCCAGGATGGGAAGTGGAGAACCGGGTGTGGACCGTATGATTAAAAGAAACATTTAAGGGTATGATTTATTTGGAGATTATCTGGACATGAAGGTAGCAAGTTTTTATTTATGTATTTATTTTTGGCAGAAGTAGAAGCATGATTTACATCTCAGCATTTGCACAGCTGATTTAATATATCTTTGACAGGCCTCCATATTTATTACAGTAATATTTTCCAACTCTGGAAAGTAGGTGGGGAGCATTTACAGCCGTCCCTCCCCAATTCCTCTCTGCTCTGCCCTAAGGGGAAAGAAATCTCCTAGTACCCTGATCCCAGGTGAGAGGAGGGGGTCCCTGAATGTACCTTGAGGAGGACAACTGGCCTCTGGTGAATCCTATACAGAACAAGTTCAAATTCAGATGTTATCCTAATAGCAACTATTTCCCATAACTAGCTGAAGACAGAGAAAGATATCTGAAAGAAAGAAGCATTGAATTATTCTAGGCTGTCACCCACAGATGGATGTTTTTATTGTCATCATTTTTTGTTTCCTGGTGCAGAAAATTCTTCATCAAAGATTAAGTTTTTAGAACTTGTTGAAAATAAAAATTTAAGTCCCGATAAAGACTGGACACATATGCAAAGAAGACAATTCATACACAATAAAGCTGACAACTCCTAAATACTCAGAATGGGTTAATGATAATTCTAAAAGAGTAATAATTACTGCCATGTTTTGCATGTTTAATAATGTGCCAGACAGTCTGCCAACTCCTCTGTGTGAATTACTCTACTTAATACAATGGGGCAGGTACATTATTGTTCTCCCATTTTGTAGATTAGGAAACTAAGTCTCAAGAGAGGTTAAGTAATGTGCCAAGACCACACATTTAGTAGGAGGCACGGCTGGAATTTGAACCCAGGTCTGCCAGACAACAAAGCCGGAACCCTGAAACAGTACTCTAAATGGCACCCCAAACACTGTCTACTGTCTCCTAAAAGCCCTATTTGTAGTCTTTGATTTTCCTGTGCACAGCCTTCCTTCAACCTAGTTACTAAATTCTAGTTTCTCTAATAAGTGACAAAACCATCGGTGGCTATGTTTTCCTAAGAAAAAGAGTCAAAGGAGCCTTTAAATTAATTTAGTGAGCAGTCAGCCTGTGTGTGTGTGTTTAACTTTAAAAAGGTGGGTTTTTTTAAAATTTTACCTTACTATCTTTTCATTAACAAAAAATTCTGTGAACTTTTGAAAGCTACATCATATTAAGACTGAACAGAACCAACATTTTAGGAACATTCAACTTACGAAGTGAAGAACTAAACCCTCACTCCCAAACTGAAACCCACTGACAAGTCTTCAACTATAGCTTCAGAACCCTGATCAACTCAAAGCAATTACACTCTGTAGTTAAGCCTCCATAGCACAAACGCTAAACTTAAAGAAAAAAAAAAGCTTAAGGGGGGACTTTTTACCAAACTCCATTGTCACCACTGGCTGTCCTTTTACAGTTTGCCTCTCAAAGCCCCCAAGCTGCCCGGGAATTTGAAAAGACACCCCTCCCTTCCCCCCCGACCTTGGATGCAGTCTGTAACTAATTTACATAAATTCACCTAATTAAGGAACTGGGTGGCTGGAATAGCACAGCTAAGTGCTGACTCATCCTAGTACTAGCAGTCTATCTCAGAGCAGAGTAGTCTATCTCAGCCTTCTCTGGCCTAATTTCACTGCTTCAGGTCATGTAAACAAGCTACCAATCAAAGCAGTCTATCCAAAGGCAGGGAAAACAAGCTAATTCAGTTTTCATGATAACATTTATCTGGGCTTAATTTGCATGCCAAAGTTGATAGAAAAACAAAGTCAGTGGTAAATAAATGGGGTGGCTCGATTAGCAGACCCTCTCGGCACTCCCTGCACAAGTGGGTGTGGGCACCCGCAGGAAGAGTGCTAGTCAGCAACCAGGGAGGACTTCCTGTGTGGAAACCACTCAGGGAGGACGTCCTGTGTGGACAGCTCTGATGCCTCCATCCCGCCAGGAAGGCCCACTTGCCTCCTACGTTAAAAGACAGGATGATCAACAACAGGCACATGACAACTACACACATGCTAAATCTTTCCCTCTCCATCACATCATACCCACCCCAGCACCACACTGAGCAGTCACTTCTATATAAATGCAAGTCTAAAAGTCCTTTACAAAAAGGCAAAAATTAACCATATGTGAACTAAAATATGTTAGTAACCATGTGCATTTGTTGTAGCTTTCTATTCAGCAAAGACAATAAAAAATAAAGACCTATCATAAATTCTATTGTCTCATTTCCTTCCTATTTCTAATAAGCTCAAGAATAGTGCTCTGGCCAATCTTACAGCTGAAGCTGTCCTCTCCCCTCCCCCCTTACTTAGTAACTTCCCTAAGAATTCTAATACATTTTGAAGGAAAAGGAAACCTAGAATCTGCCTTTTAATTACCTCAAGTCTTCCTTTAAGGTTATCATCCTTATAGTTTAGGAAGGTTATAATCCATAATCTCATCCCCACCCTCTCACTCACTCACACACACAGACACACACACAGACACACACACACACACACACACACACACAGACACACACACCCTCCCCAAACAGCAGGGAGATTTACATCAACTCTTTCCCTTATCCAGAAGCAAAATAATCACTACAGTTGCTCTTGAGAACCGATGAAAGTTATGGAATATCACTTATACCAGGACATAGTATAATACCAAGCCTGGCCTGAACTGAGTACTACGTAAAGATACCGAATACTACACTAATTCCGCACACTGTCCCTCTCCATAAGCTTTTAAGATGTAAAAGAAATTGAACAATTTGAGGGAATTATCAAACAGGAAGGAGGGAAAAGCATCC